ATGTAGCTACATTGTCTGAAGAAACTTGAAAACATCCAAGATTGCCTTTGAGATATCTAAAGTCTTTCTGAAACCTGACACTGTGCATGTGACCTCTTTGTTTTTGTTTTGTTTTGTTTCTTTCTAGAAGCTGGAGAATCACTCCCCTTCCCCCCCAAGACTGAAATTTTATAAGACTATGCTTTGATATGCGGCTGTTTGCATCCACTGTTCTGAGCATTCACTGGGCCTTTTCTCTTGTGACACTCAGGTCCTTAAGTTCAGTGTGATTTCTCCCATGGCATCCCTGTTGTAACAGAAGGCTGTGCCCTCTATGCACTGCACAAAGGTGCCCTGCTGAGGAGGTGGCTGGGGGCTGAAATCTAACCAGGATTCCATTTCCTCAAATGTGTGCCTTAGCTTAAGACTATGTCTGCTTAGAGGAGGGGCATCCTTTTCTTTCCACACCTTTTTCTGTTTACCAAGCCGGGCTCACAGAGTGCATTCATCCATGCTAGGTGTCTTTTTCTCATTTATATAAAGGTGACCCAGAAGGTGGTGGTGACCCTGCCCTCCCTTTTCTGTGTTCCTTCTTTAGAACTCCTATTATTCAGACATTGGCTCTCCTAGATGAAGTCTCTCAACTCCCTTTATTTTCTCTCCTATTTTCCATCTTTTGTCCCTTTGTTTCACTTGCCAAGACATTCTGTCAACCTGATCTTCTAGTCTTATTGAATTCTTGTTTCCGCATGTTTTAAGGTCTAAGAGCCTTGGTTCTCTAAATACTTCCTTTGCACAACATCTTGTTCATGTTTCATGAGTGCAACATCTTCTCTCTCTGAGGGCATTAATGATAATTCTTTCTGGAAGTTTTCTTTTCCCTGTCGTTTGTCCTTTCTTTCTGTTTTAGTGTTTTGGTCTCTGCATCTCATCTCTACAACACACCACTGGACAACTTCCTCTCTCCAACACTAGAAATTTGTTTCTCAGAGAGGGTAACACAGTAGGTCTCTGGGCTGGGGGACATCAGACACAGTCGAGATGGAGAGTACCAGAGTGAAAACGGGGAAAGCATGAGAATGTTTACTGAATATAGAGACCTCTGTAAGCTTTCTCCACAAAGCTCCAGACAAAAAGGAGAAAACAGAAGGAGCAAATAACTGATATCTGTACCTTTGGGTGTAAGAAAAATATCGTGGAACTTTTATTTGTATTATTTTATCCCACCATTGCATAACTTCTATGTTTTGCTTTTAAATATTTCAAAATAAATAACATAAACAAACATATATCAGGGCTCATGCTCAAATTTTGTTACTGATGGAGGCACATAGTCAAAAGAGTTCAGAGGCCACTGCATTAAACTACGAATGTTTGTAAAGTAAATTGCATTGATTTCAATTCTCCACACTTGATTTATAGCTGTATCATGACAATAAGCCAATACAATGTGATATACCATACAGAAATTTTTAAACTAATACACCTGTAAGAACTCAGTGTTCCACGTGGAACAAAATTTTACCCAACTTCAGATAATTCAAGAAAACGTGTATTTTTATCTCCCCACTTACCAGTGAGTCCTTCCTGATAAGCTGGAAGCAGCATATCAGACCATGTTAAATTAACAATGACATATTAAGTGCCCGACTACCATGTCAAATATGAGTTTTCTGACCCACATAAAAACTGAAATATGCACACACATGCCCTTTTAAGTATACAGTGTGGCCTGGACATTCAGCTCATTGCATATGGCAGTAATGTTAAGAGGTGGCATAGGGTATATAAAACAATAGAAAGAAAGGAACGAAAACTAAGAACTGATAATAAGGAGAGGAACATTCAAGAAATACTGCTGATCTTGGGTTACTAGTTGAAAGGAGCAGTTACACTTTAACTTTGGAACTCGATGCTTAAATACATCATTATTTTTGCCTCACCCATTTTCCTAATTGTAATTCCCCCAAAGGATTTAACTCATCTAGTGTGAAAGCAGTGATCCATAAAGGGAGTTTGAATTAGAACTACCCTAGAACATCCCGATGTCTTCAGCAAAATCAATTCCTTGTGTAAGTTTGATTAAACTAAAACCTACAAAAATACCATCAAATGTTTCTGAGTTGATAGGTTCATGAACGGATTCAAAGGTTGACCCAGCCATTCTTTTAGCTGAGATGTCTTCAGGTAATCTACTACAACCTTCACCAAGGCAACGCAAAAAATATATGTAGAATTTCTTATGGTTAGGAAAGAAACAAAAGTAGTGTATCTGCTTGAATGAGTTACCACGTCCGTGCACTCTGTCGCTGGCCAAGCTGCACAAGCTGGCATCTCTCCACCACAAGAGGGCAATAGCGCTCAACCGTTGTCAATGGAAACCCCCTCCAGAGCCAAGGAGGCTTCATTAGAGAAATCGTTACAGCCAGTTGTTAACACATCAATCTCTCATTGCAAAACGCGGGCAAACAGGAACCACAGCCCAGATAGGTCCAGAGCTTCTGTTCCCGGTAACAAAAAGACAGGAAATAAGCAAAAGGGTCTTGTGAAAGGGAGAGGCCTCCCTCCCCATCCTCATGTCCTAGAATCACCGTGGAGATGGCTGACTATCTTAATAATGGCTGCAGATAGGGGTCTGTTTCATTTGGATGTTCAGATAAGAACACTGTGACAGGCATCTGTGGAACACGGCTCTTAATGGGGATTTGGGAAGGGCAGAATAAAAACTGATGGGTGCAGCAGAGCTGATAGCTCGGAAAATGAGTTAAGATTGATTTTAGGAATGAAACCTGGGATAAACTTTAGATTCATGACATTGGAACATTAAGATCATCAAAGTAATTTTTTTTAAGATTTTATTTATTTATTTGACAGAGAGAGATCACAAGCAGGCAGAGAGGCAGGCAGAGAGAGAGGAGGAAGCAGGCTCCCTGCTGAGCAGAGAGCCCGATGCGGGGCTTGATCCCAGGACTCTGAGATCATGACCTGAGCCCAAGGCAGAGGCTTAACCCACTGAGCCACCCAGGCGCCCCCATCAAAGTAATTTTTGCAGCCTATAGCATTACCTTGTAAAGGTTCCAGGAAGCTAATTAATACAAAAAGGGGTCAATTATAATAAATGCACCTCAGTATTTTAAGTACGTGTGTTCATTGGTCTAGTATTGCCCATAACTTGAGATGGATCAGGTATTTTTAATGTGCTCTCATGACCAGCAACTGTTTTTGTTTTTATTCATAATTGTCATTTATGACACTGAGCTATTATCTGAAAAGACTTGTAACATTTGAAAAACCCAACTTAATTTTTCTGTAATTTCTTATCTCAACATTTCTTGAACAATTACAATTTAGAGGAAAGACGGTGTTTCTGTGAGTGTTAAAAGAATTTTTGAAAATTGGACACCTATGTTTTAAAGTCACCCTCAAATAAAAATGGAGACGTGAATATTTCCCACCTTTTATGTGCCTTACTTGTCTCATATTGTACCTTTTGTCATGGTCAAAACTTCAAAACAATAGAAAGGGTACATCTAATTCAGGGAATCTTGTTCCTTCATAGAGAGAAAGGATAGAATACAGGGAAATAAAACATGTTCTGTCATCCTAATAGATACCCAGGAGGGACATAATTGTCAATGTTGTTAATGAGCCATTGGATAGAAGATGATATTTAAAAACTCTTATTCAAGTATAAGTATCATTTAATGGTTTATTCAACTCAAATTAGCAAACATTATTGAGTTAGGCACTGTGACAGACAATAGGAGTAACAAAAATGAATAAAACATCGAGCTGAGGATGAGAGTCACCCGAAAGAAGGAAGGTAATTAATATTTTTTAGCAACTACTCTGTAACAGATTGTTGCATATGTTTTCTCATTAATACTTGTAACAGTTCTGAGGTATCATCCCTGTTTTATGGAAATTGAAACCAGCAATTAAGTGGACGGCTCGAAGTCACAGAACTAGCTGGTATAGAGCCACGACTGGAACCCAGATCTGTTCAACTTTTAAAGCACAGTCTTTTTTTATTTGGGTCATTCTGTCTGAATATTAGTGATTGACTCCTGGAGAAAAGTAACTTTTATATCTGGTAGTTTAATAGTTTACAGTTTAACAAATGAAACATCATGTTGTGCAGTCATTACATATTCTAAAATATATTTTAATTAGGAAATATTTTAAACATAGAAGTTAGAGGGGTACTGGCTGGCTCAGCCCAAAGAGCACACAACTCTTGACCTCAGGGTTGTGAGTCTGAGCCCCGTGTTGGGTGTAAAGTTTACTTAAAAAAAGAAGAAGAAGAAGAAGTTAGAAACTTATAGAGGTTACAGAGCCGTATGCTATATTCAATCTTAATATTATGTATGAGTCAGACACTTTTAAAGAAATAAAACATTACAGAAACTGTTGAGACTTTCTACCTCTCTTTGATCTCATTCTCCTTTCTTCCTCTCTAGAGATAACACTATTACGAATTTGATGTTTATCAGTTTTATGCATGATTTCTTGCTTTGACTATGTGTTTATGAATCCATAAACAATATAATATTATTTTACAGGGTTTTAAATTGTGTTTTAATTGTATCCAAAAGAACATTTTAAAAAAAAAAGATTTTGTTTATTTATTTGAGAGAGAGAATGTACAGGGAAGAGGGGCAGAGGGAGAATGAGAAGCAGACTTCCCACTGAGCAGGGAGCTCATGTGGGGCTGGATCCCAGGACCCCAGGATCAGGAACGAAGCCGAAGGCAGACGCTTAACTGACTGAGCCACCCAGGTGCCCCCAAGAACACATTATTTTACAACTTACTTTTTGTGATAATATGTTTTTGAGATTTATCCACAACGGTCTATATACCAAAATTCATTTATCTGTTTTCTGGTAATTGCATAAACAAAATTCCGCTATGGTTTTGACTCAAAGCATATCTGACGAACTTTCCTCATTATACTGAAACTTATATTTTAATAACAAAAGTACAAAACTATCCACACTAACTTTTTTTTTTCTTGGTACAGATCATTCTCGAATCGAAGTATGGGAATTTGGTAATACTGTCATCGAATACTTCTACCACTGGACACACATCTGTTTAGCTCTCATGGAGCTAAACAAAAAACCAAGTAGTGCCCTTGTTCCCCCCTTGCCCTCCAAGACTGACTCCTGTGTGTATGCAAAGATGCCGAAGGGAAACGTGCCAGGGAAATGCTAATGAATTAGTACTGTACTTGGGATATTTTTGTCATGTTCAGTTTTGTTAGCTCTAAAATATTTTCAATTGCAAAGGAGTGCCACATAGACACATTCTGCTCCTAGACAGTTACCTCAGCACTTTCTAAAACAAAAATGCTACCTAAGGAGAAATTTGATCTAAAAAATATCCAGTCAAGGTAGCCGTAACCAAACGTATGGAATATGCTTAAAAGTTTCTTTTTAGTGTTAACTTTGCATCTGCCATGGCACTATTGTGGCTAATTGGGTAGAGTTATTTTCATTCTTTTAAGGTACAAAGTAAAGACTGAGATTTAAGGGGGAAGTGGCAGTTTTTACATTTATTACCAGATAATAAAGATTTTAAGAAATTAACTGAGAATTGTTTTTCTAATTTTTCAGAGACTTAAGTGAGCGCCCCCACTTTTCCCCCTCCACCTCCAACTCCTCCTCCCCACTCATTTTGACAGGTTATTCCAATGAATAGAAATTCTTGTGGGAAGATGTCCATGACTCATGGAAAAAAGCAAACACCTTTCTTTTTATTTTTTAATAACAAAAACCTCTCAAGTTCAAGAACTGCAAAAAGAATTTATACTTATTTTAAGCTTATTATTACAGCAAACTTTGCTGCTCTTTTGTGAGATCTCATCTTTGCAATAAGATATCTGATGAGAGTCCCTTTTTAATAAAAATTTGGGAAATTAAACTTCATTTTCTTTATTTGGTTGACAAAATGTGATGTGTTCCAAACATCTTATAATTTGAGATTGGAGGTCCCTTCTTAACCTTTTCTGATAAGATGGCAGTGTTATTACCAGTCCTCATCTCTTGGATGCCCAGTTTTAACCTGTAAGCCTATTTCATATTTGGGAGAGGGCTTTTCAGGGCATTTGCAATGACATTTCTAGGAACAATGTTCTTAAAGATATTAAACTGATAGCCACATATCCTGATGGCTTCAGAACAAGCTTGGCAAGTCCACTGTGCATACAAATGGCATTTTAGGCAGTGAAGAGAGAACATTTTTGCAGAATGCTACCTTCTTAACCATTATCATGGGAATTAAGCAAACTAAATGGCATCTAGCTTAACTGAGAACAGATATACATTTGCTTGGATTTTAACTTGTTTGAAGTATTTTCACACACAGTTCATTTGATCCTGTAAGGTAGTCAGTCTAATATCAGTCTAATATCATTATCTCTACTTTATAAGTTAGGACATAGGCTCAAAGAGTGAGTTGCTTAGGTCAAAATAGCTAGTAAGAAGCAGGGGGGCCTAGCATTCATCTTTCCTAATTTTTGCCAGCACCTCAGATATGTCACTAACACTTGACAACCTTTACCAGGCTAATGACCATGTTATCAGTCTTTTGGAAACTACTTTAAAATTAAGCAACTGGGGTGCCTGACTGGCTCAGTTGTTAAGCGTCTGCCTTCAGCTCAAGGTCCTGGGATTGAGCCCCACATTGGGCTCCCTGCTCTGTGGGAAGCCTGCTTCTCCCTCTCCTGCTCCCCCTGCTTGTGTTCCCTCTCTCACTGTGTCTCTGTCAAATAAATAAATAAAATCTTTGAAAAAAAATAAAATTAAGCAACCAAAAAGAAAGACTAATTGAGGGGCGCCTGGGTGGCTCAGTGGGTTAAGCCGCTGCCTTCAGCTCAGGTCATGATCTCAGAGTCCTGGGATCGAGCCCTGCATCGGGCTCTCTGCTCAGCGGGGAGCCTGCTTCCTCCTCTCTCTGCCTGCCTCTGCCTGCTTGTGATCTCTCTCTGTCAAATAAACAAATAAAAAATCTTAAAAAAAAAAAAAAAGAAAGACTAATTGGATTTATTTAATAATCTTTCAAGTAACATACTATCCCATAACACCAGAAGCTTACTTTTTTAGCGAAGAGGATGTTATTCATACTTGACAAAATTTAGATATAGATTTATATTTAAATATATTTATTGGATAGGCTGATTTGAATAATTTGAATAGATTGAATTACCTACAGTGAGATATATATATATATATATATATATATATATATATATATATATATTTCAGAAGGTTAGACTTGATTAGATTTTTTGTTGGCGCTCTTTCCTATAGCTTACAGGTAATGAGGACACTGTATGGTGTCAATCATGCAGGCCATTTTCTTCTTCTTTTTTCTTTCTTCTTCTTCTTTTTTAATTTAAAGGGGATGGAAGTTCATTGAATACACTATAAGGGAGCAGCGAGCAAGGAGAGACTGTCTACCAGGACATAGTGGCAGGGGCTAAATTGGTGGGGGGCATATGGGAGTATGAGAACATATGGAGTCTTCCTTTTTGGTAACTATGTCCAGTTTAAGTAGCCCATTGGTCAGCTAAGGCTTATGGCTGTCTTGAGGTGAGTGGCTTAATGAGCCTGTTTGCATTCAGCCCAGTGGTCACTGTGGGCCCTTTTGGCTTTCTTGGGTTTCCATTCCTCAAGCCTGTTGCCTATAAGCAGCCTCGACATCCCCCCCTGACAGATCAATGATGACAAGTCTTTGGCATTTGAGTGGAAGACTCATCTTCAGTAGCAGCTTCACGTTGGATGGGGAGAAACATGCTTTCCCTACCTAAGCTTGTGGGGCCATCAGGGTTTCTATGCAGTTATAGACCAGAGCATGGTATTATATTGTGCTGATATGAGATTTGAGTGAAATTCCCTGGTGGCTAGGTCCATGGGATTTAGAGGGAAGGGACCCTCCAATGGCATGGGCTGGAATCATCATTTGTATATATAATTGTTGGATTTACTCAGACGCATAGGAACGTATTTTGCCTGTAGATCAGAATGGCAGCTGGATCCAAGAGAACAAAGGAAAAAGGGGGTGGAGGGTGAAAGAAGCAAGGCAGCTGAGTCAGCCAGTATCAGGAAAGGGTCCCAGCCCAGTCCATAATGTGTACAGATTTCCCCTAGACAAGTTTTTACTGCACGCATGTTAGGAACACAGACCTCAGGGGGATGGAGTGGGAGGGGAGAGGAAAGGGGTCCTTCGCCGTCACAGGCACAGGCAGTTTGACCTCTCTGCCCTCAGACCTTTAGACCAAACTGGGGAGCCGTCCTGGCCAGAGATTTTAAGATGTCTGAGGAGTACTAGGGTTTGACTGCCTAAGAGCCAAAGAGAGAAAAGAAAGCGAGAGAAGGATCCTTCCCAAGGACAAGAGGGAAAATCCCTCACCCTTTCAGCAAGGACAGTCTGGTGGGTTCCCCTGGGGGCTTCAGAGCCTCACTAAGGAGTAACCTTCGCCAAGGCTGTCAGTTCCCCCAAGGAGCACTAGAGTTGGTCCACTGAGGGAAAGTCCCAAGAAATTCCAAAACAATCTGGGAAGACTCTCAACCCAGCAGAGGTTCTCCATTTAGGCCACAAAATGTGGGGCTTCCAGATTGGGTGGAGGCTCGTGGTGCAGGCAACGAAAGAATTCCCCCAAGGCAAAACAAAGGAACTAGAACTTTATTAAATATACTGCAAGGGAGGAGCGGCCAGGACAGCAAAGGAGAGACTGTTTGTCTGGACCATTTTCCTTTTTAATTATGGCTTTCCTTGGTCTAGAAACAACAATCAGTTTTCAGGACAATGAAATCTTAGGAATCTTAGAAATCTTAGAAATTCTAAGATTCTTAGAATCTTAGAAATTCTTTCAGGAATCTTAGAAAAGTTCCTGTTGCCTCTTTTAACAGCTTTATTGAAATACAACTTACATAAAATATAATGCCCCGACTTAACATGTTCGGTGCAATGGTTTTTAGTGTATTCACAGAACTTGCAACCATTACAAAATCAATTGAAAAGCATTTTCATCACCCCCTTAAGAAACCCCATACTCATTAGTAGTCGCTCTCCATTTTCCTCCACTCAAGCCCTAGGCAACTATTCATCTTCCTTTCTCTATGGGTTTGCTTATTCCAGACATTTTATATAAATGGAATCATACAGTATGTGGTTTCTTGTGATTGACTTCTGATTCCCCATTAATCTAAGTATGATTAAGCTACCAGCTACCCTTAACTTCCATAGACATCTCCAATCCACTGACTCCAAAGATCTTTGCAGGTAATTTAGGGAATTTTCATTCTTCTCATGTGAGTTTTATGTAATGCTACTCCCACCTAACCCCACTCTACATCATTAACTCTGTGTTCTTACTCTCTCCCATATGATTTTATTATAAAGACTTCTCTTAATAGATAATGTCAATAAATTAAATATTGCCTATTTCTTTGTCCATAGACATGGTAATTATCCTCAGAGGGTGTTCTGTCTCCTAGTCATTAGCTCTATAACTCTATCTTACCGTCCCTCAGTTTACTGCCTGGGCTTAGACTGTCTTGCCCATAGACCACAACTAGTAAGGCACATCTTGGTGGCCATATCTTGTTCTCTGTGGCCCCGACTCTCCAGCCACAGCTTTTTGAATTAGGGTTGACCCTAATTCAAAGGGAATTGGTTTCAACCACAAATTGGTTTCAAAGGGAAACCAATTTGTGAAATGGTCTAATATTGAAAGTAACTATACCATGGATAAACCAAACTGGGAAACAGTAATAGGAGCAGTGGCTAGAAGGGGGTAAGTATTTAGAGAGACCAAAAAGTGTCATACCAGGCCCTAAACAATTAAAGCAAACTGCCTTCCAGACAGTAAAAATTAGCAGAAATTGTTGGTAGAGAACAAGTTTAGAGAATGGGTAGTTTGGTTTGGGACAAGAATGCACAAAAAGGCAGAGAGGGTATAAAAAGCAGCAGAGACTAAAAGAGTAAGGAAGTAACATAAGTAACATTAATGTCAAAAGATTAAATGGAACATCCATTATCTTGGGTGCTAAGGACCCTGCAGTTACCCTGGATCTAATTCTAGTCAACTGCTTTATTCTTGAGGTCTTATTTCTGAAAGTCTAAGTTAGTCAGAATTCTCTGTTGTGTAACAGTCAGGAGTATGGTAGTGATGATACCATCTCTTATTGGCTTTACCCTGCTTCTGTCCTTTCAGCACCTTCAATTAAAGTTCCCAAACTTGGGTTCAAAACGTTAGGAGGCTTCTCTGTGTCTCTGATTCACTGCTGCATGTACCACCATTGCTGCAAACTCTGCCAAGTGTTTGAAGAACTTGAACTCTCTGAAACACTGCATCTGAGAAATCGGTGTTCTACCTTTGGGAAAAATCTCACAATTGCTTCA